GCCCTGACAACTGGGGTGGCATAATAAATTGTGGGGAGCCAAGAAATGTCCCCGCGGGCCAAAACAAATGTTCCACGGGCCAAGTTTGGCCCGCGGGCCCCACTTTGGGCACCCCTGGTCTAGACTCATTAACTTGTCTTTAGGATTTCATCAAATAGGCCTCACGTTTAATGAGCACCTTCAGCATCTAGAAATAATGCCAAACATTTTTCAAACATATGCAAATCATCGCCTCAGCATGTTTCTTAGAGCTGTATTGATTACATTTCCACTCCCACCAAATCAGAAGGGTTATCTAGGCCAAGAGACAGAAAAATGAACCTCAATGATAATCAGTCTCATCTCTTGTAAAGCTGATTAAGGGCACTGTAATTTTGTGCACAGAGCTATTCATCAGCAAGATCACATACACAAGGCTATAACATGCTCGCATCAGTTGGCAGGCTAATTCAGAAGAGCTAATCTGTAGACAATCGTGCTGTTTAAATGCAGTATATTACACTGAAAACAATGATTTTTTTAAACTAGCATGTGCTGCAGGTTGCTTGTACACAGCCTGACTGCTCTTCATAACCATAGTGTGGTAGCTGCATAAGCCCTGAGCAACCAGCCTGTTCAAGAAGTGAATGAAGAGTTCATGAAAAATGATGCTGCAGTAGAACAATAGTGGTCTGAAGAGCATTAGAGCCACAAATCTCTCCGTTATGCTGTACTGTATGTGACGGGAACATTGTAACATTCATGTGTGTTTGTGCTCGACAATGACATCCTCTTCTGACAAGATGGGTTTGTTAAAGTAAAAACTCTGCAGAGGTAACACGTGTGCACATAAAGCAGGGCAGTAGTGGCACAAGTGTAAAACCTTAGCAAGAAAATGTTTTTATTCTGGAACTATTATTAAAGATGAAACTCAACTGATTTAAACACTGGTGAATTAATCTGCAGGCTGTTAGTTTAATGATGACCGTAAAGAAAGGACAGTTTCACCCTGACCTTAATCAGCGATGCCATGTATGAAGGCTTTACACAAAGAAGGCACTAGAAACCACTAGACAGGTGAGAACAGTGACAGACAGTGATTATGATACTGTAGCCTGCATTTCATTGTAGAGCTTTGAAATCGGAGATGCTCCTAAGCAGAAAAGTGGATCCTAACTAATCTGAGCTCTTTAAGCTACTTCTACAGCCAAGTAAAACTTATCAAATGAATGGGTAATGATAAAGAACCTGCCCACTGGTTAAGTCTACCAATCATAACTTATAACAGGCCTGTAAGTGGGAATATACAGATAGCCTGCGTCCTAATGGACAACATATTTATCACATGTTGGATACTCTGATTAAAAATGCACACTCATTTTGAAACACAGGACATACATTATGAATTATTTATGCATATTCACCCCCAGCAATGTACGCTATCACCAGTGTAAAATAAAGCAATGGAGGGGGTATTCAGTCATTTTAGGAACTTTTAATCACTGACTTCTATAAAAAAAGTGAAGCCTCACTATCTTTAATTAGAAAGAAATGTGGTCATGAAAGTTAACCCACGCTTTTCTCAACACATTTCCTTTAAACTTAAAAATAAAACTGACTTCAACAAAAACTGCTCAAATAATGCATGGAAAATATAATTTCACATCTCATTACCTCAGTTTCAAGCTGCACTAGTTCCATTGTGGGCCATGGCTCCGCGATCTGTGCCAGAGGCATTTTCGTTGGCTTTTCAGTTCCCTTTTAGTTGCTCAAGTACGAATTTGGTCTTCCTAGATTTATCTTGTGCTGCTCCTGTCAAGTGCACTTCACCAGGAAGCTCCTCGCTCAGGTCCTAAGTCCAGGTTCAACAGATTTATCAGCACTTTGCTCTCTGCTCAGGGAACAAGACGCGCATGCAAACGTTGCAAGCTCAGCCAAGAGCTTTACAAACAATTATAATCCCTTGGTGTGACTTCGACCTCAGCCTGCGTATTTGTTTTAAGTGGTAATCTGATTGAGAATACAATAAATACCAACAAACACACTTGTCCTTCTAGGTACGCGCGTTGACTGCACTCTGGATTTGGCTTTAACAAGCGGGAGTGTGACTGTAAGCTCCCCCTGGTAGCGCTGTACAGGGGTCTAATGCCACCTAAAGGAATTAGCCAGAGTCCGTACTATCTTTACAGTCGACGCCGTATCAGAGCCTCCCTTGTGTGTCTGAGTTCTCCAAGGCAGGGGGAAGCCGCTTCGCTCTGTCCTCTCGTGTTCCAACAGTATGCGATGTGCGCAAGAGCCTACACTGTGGCTCTGTAGTACGAGGAGGCTCCAACTCCGGCTGCTATTGGTAGACTTCATCTGGAATTTATCCAGCCCTCTGCTCTACTTGTTCCGCCCAGGTCTGATCGTGCCATCATCTGGTGGAAAGATGAAATGCAAATACGTAATGCAGACTGGAGCCTGCGATTCATGAACGGCCTGCTTTCTTTGATGCTTCCATAGCCTGAGGTGCATCAGAGAATAGATCCTCTGAGTGCAGAAGAAAAACCTGTCGATCATAAATGGCAGCCACATTGCATAGAAGAGTGCTGCATAAAGTGTCCTGTAACTTTGAGGTGCAGAGCAAAACAATCCTGTTGCATGTCTTCCACAAACTGCAGTGTTTTTAAAATCCCATTAGAATATATTGCACATTGCCTTTAAACCCACATCACCACTTCCTAAAACAACACATCCTGTTGCAAAAAATTACACAATAAATGCAAGTTAAATATATGCATGACTAGAGTACAGGAGACTAGAATTTGCGTCGTGACCAGAGCTGTTTGGGTCTGTCCGGACATTACATTGATGCAGCACGCTTTTCACTGACAACAGGTTTTCCAATGGTCCTTGTAATTTTCAGTGATATAATGCACCCCTCCACCTTGAACACTTTCCTGCTTCATTCACAGCCGAGTGGATTTTGCTCTTGGCCAGCTTTGGTTACTATTGGCAACTGGAGCGCATCAACCCGCCTAGTCGTGGATGGATCAGATAATTCATTTATTCAAATTAAGACGAAGAAACAAATGGCATTTTCTGGAAACAAAAAGAAAAATGAAATGGAAAGGAAGACCTCATGATTTGGTTCATTTTTGATAGATGTGTTGCCTAAGTACTGTACATGCAAAACTATGCTGCATTAATAAAGCTCATTGTGCCAAAAAAACACTTCCTATCTTGTGTAATTGCTTATTATGTTCCAGATATGTGTGTGGCTTTTGGACTTTGTGCCTTCACTCACTCACACTCACTTTTCTTCTCCTCTCTTCCCTCTCATTTCCCCCCTGTTCATTATGTATTTGACACCTGTCGCTATCCCCTCTACTCTCCAAGGATACCAGAAGATTGATGCTAGACATTTCATCACTGTTTATGGCCCTTCTTATGTGAGTCCAGACTTTCAGTTAGATCCTGTGGTGGAAAGTTAGAGATGTATTAAAGATAATTTAAAGGAACCAATAAAAAGAAGCTGACCTATGGTGAATTGTTATGTCAAGAGGCTTGTGAATGGGGGAACGCTCTTTTTAACAGCACTGCATTCCAAAAATCTACATGAGATGTAAATTACTAGTGGCGTGTAAATCCAGACAGCCTACCATTAGGTACATAGGGACTGACTGACATGTTAATATTCTGTATCTGGCCATTTTGACTGGGGGAATCGCTTCTTCTGTTCACAATGCCTCGGTGACATCACGGCTGATAGCAATGACTCAGAGGTGTCTCCCGTCCAGTGACAGAGACTCCAGGGATACCCTACCCACACCTTTTGGCTAGAAATGAAGCATCATGGGAAATATGGCTCAGTTCAGCTTAACATGCATGTGCGATAGAGCAAGTCTCCAATCTGACTTGTTGGGATATTGATTCAGGAATTAAATGTGTTTGTCGAGAAGCTGTCAAATAGAAATGTTAAGTGAGCTGTGATGAACCAGATGGCAGATTTCGACCCCAAGTGACAGCCTGCAAATGAGTTAAACTGATGCAAAGGTGACAGTGTCATGCAACCTGATTTTCAGTTTGAACTGAAACCACAAAGGAATGGGAGAAGGAATTATACAGTATGCAGTCCACTCCTCTCTAAATACTGTGCACACAGTAGTAAACAGTGCAATTAAAATGCAAATATATGCATATTCCAATTGTGAAGTGGCATCACAAAATTCACCTGTTCATTTATGAAAGTTGCTTTTCACTTTTCTTTTAATTCTTTTATCTGACCTATTCAAGGTTTTGTCACACCGACATAGACATGTATAATTTCCATTCAAGTTCATTTGTGCAGCTGTTTTTTTTTAATTGTTTTTATTTTATTTAACCAGGAAAGCCCCATTGAGATACAAGATCTCTTCAACCAGAGAATCTTGGTCAAGATGAATTTAGTGTTTGCGTTGGCTGTAGTGCTTTTATTACTGCTTCTGCTTTATTCCATTATTTGTCCTGTTTTTCAAGCATTATACAAAATAGTAATAATAGAATTTTCTTCCTTATTGCACTTGTAACTGTGTGGCAGTTTGAGATTCATGCTCCATGAATGTCTGACGACCTCTGAGATAGAGTAAATGTATGTGTCAGTTAAATCCTAAATAATAGATAGATCATTTTTTACTTTCCCTCACTCACCATTATAAGACAATACATTTAAAGACAATTAAAATAGATTTTGTGTAAAGTGGAATGTTTAATCAATCCAAGGGATTAATTTATAGGCAACAGGAATTTTTACCACTTTAAGGACAAAAGCATTCCAGCATCGAAGCAATACAGGGTCCAAAAATACAAATACAATTGGACCTGGTATTATCACTAACAATGTGTTAAATATCCACTAAAATGCATCTTAACACATGCAATTTCAGTTCTCAGTTTAATACTCCGGGTGTGTCAGGTTTCAATAAGAGCACTTTCAGACTTTTGGTAATAAAATTCCTGCTTAACCAAGCTGAGTGAGCATATGTCTGCACTGGAAGGATCAGCACCATCAGTGGGGCTGCAGCACTGAACAAATTAATTAGCTGCCGCTAGTGGTGCAGGGGTAATTATCCAGCCTCTGCTCTCTTACTATAGCAGGAGAAGATGGCACTGTAATGATTCATTATTCATTCTAGGTCTGTACCTGTACAGAGATGATGAACAAATAGCTTTATTGTGTTTGAAACATCAGTGGAATTAACATTTGTCATAGATATGGTGGGACAGAGCGGCTGCAGATGGACTGGGAGGGTCTTATTGATCTGCTTTAAAAAAAAAAGAGAGAGAGAGGGAGGAGGCAAAAGGGAGAGATGTGCATTGCATAACAGTGTCCATGGTTCCTTGTTACATAAAGTCTTGTTCTTCTTTGTCTCATGCAATATCTTTTGCAACAATAGCTCCTAATACTACACATACTGACTACAGAAGTGTATGACTGTAGTAATGGGCGCCCTGTCAAGCAAGAACTGCATGTTGAGGCTTGAGTTTGTATCTCAGGTATTTGGGCTGGGCAAAGAGGCAGGCCAAGCACATGATCTTTACAAAAAAACACCTCTGAGATCAAGTTCAGTGCAAACAAGCTACAATAACTCATTGCTGTGTCATTAATTTTCACTTAGAGATGAATAAAGCTATTGTAAAATACTAGGACATTCCAAATCAATGGGTAGGCTATATGTCCATGAACAGACTGTTATAAGGCCCTTTTTTACACAACACAAACCCATAAGAGCAGCATACATGTGTATGAGTGATTTCACACACAAAGTGCTGCTGTCACTGACATAAAACCACAGACCGGAGAATATAGGGAAGAATGAGCAAGATGTTTGAAATCCATTGCTTTTTTAAAGTTATGTAAGATCACTTTGGTTTGTCAGGCTTGTGGACTGATGCTGCACATTCAGGCTCTTCTCTCACACTTTCAACAGAGAACATCTTGACTTTACAGAGGATCAGTAGTTACTCAGTCAGCATTCACAATGACTGAAGCCGGTTTCCCCTGCTAAAATCTTAGTTAGTTGTAGTTCATTTTTTATGCTTTGACAAATAGTAATCTGTGACAACTATAAACTATGATGCTATCTCACATAACCCTATATCTACAAAGACAACTTATAGGTAAAGATTTTGGTTTGCTGCCAGACAGATTTTCTATAACTATTAGAAGATACTGGCATGAAGGATATATAACACACACAGGGACACACTGGCATTTCGCCTGCTGACATGTACAGTAAATCTCTTTTCTCCTTCCTCTGTCTTTTTTCTTGGTTCAAAGTGATTAACAGCAGGGGGTGCCAGAGATCAGAGGGCAGCTCTTTCATGACCACAGCCTTTTGGTCAGGCAGGTGCCTTCTACTTCTGATTGAACATAAGTGTATTATGTGAGATATTTACAGCGATCCCCTAGTGTAGCTCACAGCATAGATTCCACAGTTCATTCACAAATGCCCAGACTTGATGTCATAAGCATGAATGAAACCACCACTGGCTCAAAGAAGTCAAACCTTTGTTCAGTGGTTCACATTTACAGTATTTTGACAGTGTTTTTATGGTTAATGGTCTCAATTAAGAACTCACTGAATTGTATGGAGGTAATCTTTCAACATAAACCCCCAGCTGCTCAACTGCTTCCTTGTTTTAAGTACATATCTAAAATAAATGAGTCATGTGGAAAAGCTGTCTCAGGCTTTTAATTCCCCAAAAGAAAATAGACCTCACAATTATTAACTACAAAATAATATCTTAGACATTATTGCTATACTTGTGTTTTTTTTTTCTTTAGTCTAAAGTTGTATCTGTTTGTGTAAATATGGATAAATTAGTCAGGATTTAATTCTTTTTATAGCATATTGTAGAAATATTGGGCATTAATAAAATATGAATATAATTAAAGCAGTGTTTTCTTATACTGGAAATGTAACAGGATAAAACAGGAAACATTTCTGGGAAATTCCAGCCTAACCAGTGGATTTGCAAAAGAAGGATTATGTGCTGCTCTGTATGAGGGAGAGCAAGATATTTTTCCTTTAAGTCTTTTGAAAATGCAAGAACATAAAGGGGAAAACTGAAGAGTAACTTCAGCACTTGTGTGCATGTTTTTATGTAGGGGGCCATAATTAAGTTTTATATGGCAAAGTATGCTTCATTTAAATAAGTATTAGTTAAATTATAATGCAACTATATGCAGCCTCAACGCTCAGAAATGACCTGAGAGTTAAAGAAGGATGTTTCAGACACAGTCACAAAAGTAGCATTATTACAGAGTCACTGTAGTGTATTGCATTACATCGCATAGGTGTTGCATTTATTGTGTCCACCTCCTTGCATCCCTCTACAGGTTGTGTGCAAGTAATCACCATCTAGGCCCTGCGCCTTTCTCTTGCGGATGATTATGCGTAAAAGTCAAAACTACCAGCGAAGTTATGAAGCGCTATAACTGCAGCACCTTACGCGCACTAATTCCATTCCTCCAGGTAAAAAAAGGAGTGGAGCGGGGTAGGAGGGAGGGGTCTTATCTCCTGGTCGAGCCAGACATCTCCGCACTACATTGGCTACCAGTAGGGGACTATTACCTGTACCTGTGAGAAGGTGTGCCATTCGTCATCGTCCGTCTCCAAATCAGGATCAACAGTTTCCTCCTCCAGCCGCTCGGAGAGGTAGGAGTCTGCCAGGACGGCTGGAAACTGAGCGAGCGACTACAACAGGACTCCGAACATGGAGCCTATAACGTCGTGGAGCGAGGAGAGAGTCAGCGAGTGGCTCCAAGGTGAGGGACATATTGCGCTCTGTGTTTTCCACGACTTGGTCGCCTCACAACTACTTTGGCTTTTACGGTAAAGTCCGGAATAGAAACACCACACAAATCCTCTTGGAAGTGAAAGGTGGAGGTGGAGGTGGAATGAGGAAGTAGCCCGTGCTGAGGGAGAAGTCTTGTTCTGATCAGTGTCAACAACTGAGTACTATCACAAAGAGTATCTATATGGCTTGCTGTTCTAGTTCATGTTGCGTTCACAGGGCTGATTGAATTATGTCTTCTGTTTGCGCAGATGGCCATATACAGAGAATATCCTGCTCAGTACAATGTAATGTACACGGATTAATACTTTAAGTTGTTCTGTAGGGAATACTGCATTAGAAAATCGGCAGGTAGTAGAAGCGAACTCTTACCAGAACTGGAAACTAACAACTAACAACATTTACTGTACATACTGTACATATTAATACTTACATTTTGAAGATATAACTTCAAAAACTACAGTTAAGAGGGCTTCAAACATTTTAAACTTTTTAGAACCTAATTGCCCAGCATACAATAAAGCAGAGGTCTTTTCCGAAGCTGCCTACTTAAATCAGGATGCCAGGGGCCCTATTGATCTGCCTCTGTCCATGTTCCCTCAGCATGTCCCTGCCTGTATGTGCATGTGTCTTTCTGGCTATGTGGGGTTTCCATTTACAGTTGCTTTGTGATATGATTGAGGTGTTTGTGCATTTCTGTCCTGTGGCCAGGTCTGGATGCCCCCCTGCATCAATACCAAGTCTCTGAGTGGCATTTGTCAGGTCTGGATCTGCTCCAATTAACCTCTCAGGATCTGGAAAAGTTGGGGGTTCATAAGATTGGACACCAGGAGCTCATACTGGAGGCTGTGGAGAAACTCTGCTCTCTGGTGAGGGAAGCAGCAGACTCATGTGTGTTTGTTTACAATATCCAAGGTACAATATCCAAGGCTGTTTGTTGGGTGTGTTGTGGAGATAATGTGTAAGGATAGTTGCACTGCGCTGAATATTTACTGAGCGGTTATCTTTTTTGTCTTGCTGTAATGTTGTGGGCGGTCTGATATCGGAGCTTCAGATCTCCACTATTTTTTCCACCATCACAGTGATTTTAAACTATGCTCTTGTTTGCACAGTAGAAATGGCAGCTGTTGGAGAAAATCCAACCAGAATACACAGCCATTGCTCTTATTGCCAAACAAGTCCTGCTTCACTAAAATACTCTGAGCCTTTAGCAACATGAACTGAGCTTGAGTTCATTGCTTCCTTTTGCCCCTCACTTTTACATCAATATCCCACCCCAGCAAGCATATCAGAGTACTATACTACTTTATTATTTTGAGCCACCATCAAAGGACTATTCATGCTTCAGCTGCAACCAAAGCAGATTTGGAATGCAGTATTTGCACCTAAGCCTCAACATGCAAAATTTACAGTCTACTTGAACAAACATTTCCACCTAATCAATGTTCCTCCCTGTGGGAGTTTTAGGACACTTATATAGTCATGTTGGAGTGCGGGAGTGTCTTATTTCCAGAGTGGCCTTTGTTTCACTCGAGGGACTGATTGAGCAGGACAGCATCAGTCAAGGTTCTGACTCTGGTGGTGTAACAGCCTGTGAACACTGGACTAAAGCTCAGACTGCTTAAAATGCTTGCTGCTGAATTACTTTAATAATGGTTGAAATGGCCATTATAGCATTAACAGTTTCTTATTTAGTGCATGAATAAGTTTGAATAAGGTACCTGTACACAGATGCACAATTTTAAACAGTAGAGTCTGTAGAAGTGTGTGTGTGTGTGTGTGTGTGTGTGTGTGTGTGTGTGTGTGTGTGTGTGTGTGTGTGTGTGTGTGTGCCTCTTTTCCTGTCCTCCCTCTCTGTCTTGATGCTCCCTGAAGTACTAACATTGTGCTCATTCATAAAAACAACCATCAGACACTCACATGGAGAAGACTATTCTAGTACATGGTTATGTAATTAACACCTACAATGTTGTAGGTCAACAACAAAGCCTGACCGGTCCAAACCTCTTCACCACCGACGAGCGCTCCTTCTGCAGTGGCTCTGTCTTGTTAAACAAACTTTATATTTTATCCCTTTCTACATTTTGAATTGTGAGCTCTGCCAATGGTTTGTATTGCATTTTACTGCACTGTTAGGGTTTATATAGTCTTCAAAACAATTCAACATCACCACAAACTACTGCCTTCAAATTGATCATAAAGTCATATTACAACCTCTGAAAATCAACAAAACAGTAGGTGCTGTAGGAAGAGAGCGTAGCACTGCATTAAATATCACAGCATGAGTATGTTTAACACTGTGATAGGATTTTAGGAACAGAATAATCCTTTGACCAGTTACATTGTGTGTTTGGTGTATGTAGACGTATGTTATAGGTGGTGAGAACCTGCGTAGTCTGACAGAGAAGCTGCGTGCCGTTGCCCGCACCCTCCAGATGGGCATCCAGGGCCGCTGGCGCCTCAAAAACTATGACGGACACAACACCACTAAGCTGCCTGTCCCTGTTCTGCAGGTTGTAGTGGAGCTCATCATGTCTGCCAAAGGACTCTTCTGTCTGATCAACAGGTGTGTAAAGAGCAAGTTATCTAACTGTACAGTACTTGAAATTTTATTCTGCAGTTATTTTTTACTCAGAAATGCTCTCTGTGGTGCCTTATGAAAATTAATCTGACTGTAACTGTGGGTTAAAGTTACATGGGGGTGTAGCCTTTATACGGGAATGTTTGTTAAGAAAGCTGATGCCTGATTCACAGATTGTGTGAAATTAAATCATTGTACTTGCTTCAAGTACCACTTCCACCCTCTTTTCAGACTTGTTTGAAATATAGTTTCTGTCTTTCCAGGTATCAGTTAATCCACCTCAGTGGCTACACCAATAGCAAGCGCATATTCAGCTACTGCAAAGAGTTGGGAGAAATTGTGCACAAGGTTGGTTCATTCTTTACTTGATGAATTAAGTGCATAAACCTCTTGTGTGATTTATAATTACATTTATACTGCATTTTGCAGATAAATACACAAATGCCTCTCTTTTATGCTAACTCAGTTGCTCTGCTGGTTTAGGACATTTTACTGTGCACATGTTCATAAACACACGAGGTGTTTATCTTAATAGGAACCACATGGTGGCTCTGCTGGTTTAGGACATTTTACTATGCACATGTTCATAAACACATGAGGTGTTTATCTTAATAGGAACCACATATGACTAAACCACATTTCTACTGGTTTCTACTGGTAATGTCACACACGCTTAATTTCCAAAGAGGAACTACAACCTGTTGTACTGTAGTTGTTTCTTTATTGATCAGCCCCTAAAATGCAGCAATATAAAACAAAAACAGAATCAAAACAGTTCACGTTTGTCAGTTTCATTTCGGTAATGCATTCTTTATCTTTGCATTCCTGGCATATTTGAAGTTGGCTGCACCTTGAAGAAGCTCAGGTCGAATGGATTGCCAATGATGACATCATCTGGATTGTTTTGTGTTTACCTCTTTACGCTAAAATGAAATATATGAAAGAAATGGGAGGAGAAAGAGTATTCATAACTGGATGAATGCAAATTAGGTTAAAACCTTTTACAGGTAGCTTAAATGACAGGTCTGGCTATGTTTTAGTGCCAAGGGGGGAGGGGAGGGAGGAAGCAAAGGGGAAGGCAGAGAAAGAAGAAGGAGGAGCCTAAGGGATCGCACCATGAGTATTAAATGACTTTTGATTCCTGAAGCAGTGCTCACTGATGAATGCCCAGCAGAGAGCAACAGGCAGAGAGGGAGACTGTTACCTCTGAAACAGCGCTGCAATGATATTAGAGATAACGAGTCTGCAAGAAGTGAAGAAGAGGCAGAGACACAAAGATGACAGAGCTTCAGACGTGCAAGAGAGTGAGAAATAATTACAGAGAGGTAAAGAGGCAGTGAGAGGTACAGATAAGCTGTGAGTGAAAGAGGAGGAGTTTATAGATAGCCAGCTCTGGATGCCTGCCCGGCACAACAGGTACAGTTCTCACCAATTTGATTTTAGCAGTTCTCCACAAGGTGATGCTGTATTTGGTGCTTCTTCACTTTGTTTGACTGCTAAAAATGGCTCAAATCTACACTTGTATAACACAGGACGTGTATTTTCTGCATGATATCCAATGTTCAGAATTGTTCAGTGATGGTTGATAATGTTAGAGATCATTCATGCAGATTCACATTTGGCCATTCACAGGAGTCTGAACAAGCCTAAGAGATTTTTGTATGAGTAATAAGAGTTGCAGTCTATGTTGATGCACAGTTACATTGTCCTCATGGACTTGGTAGCACAGAGGGGAAGGAAGGAAGTGTGGATTTCAGAGATTGATTTACGTAGCTTGTTGACTCTGATAGGATGTTTTTCACCATTATGAAGTGAATCAGATTTGGGCCTTTTGGTTGTTGTTGTCAGCCCCATACACCTGCAGGCAGAGCACTGAGTGACCAGTGACTAATTTAACGCCTTGACTGCTTTTGTCGTCGGTTCCTCTCAGAGGTTGATCATCATTTAGTAATGACTGATGTTTACTCAGTTCCTGTTTTTGAACATTGTGCACACTGTTGTGTTTTCACATTGTTGGTGTTCCAAAGGTATTAATGATTGTGTATAAAGAGCTACACTGAGTACTGAATCCATTCACAAAATAACACTGGACATGGATAGGCTGATTTCATAGCTATAAAACCTGCACATTAGCAGGTTTTATTAGATGCTGTGTAGTTGACAGGTTAGCTAAAAGGTCACATTTGGACAGCTGAGATGTCACACCTGGTCAACAGAATGTGGGAATGTGGGCTCAGCCATCTCCTTTCTAACTGTCGTCATAGCATTATCAACCTGCAGGCACAATGGCTCTGTAGAAGGGCACGTTGATTCATACACACCTGTAGCACATGCTGTACAACTGACTCACATTACATAAGCACATGTGTGTGTGTAATAACTGCATAGCATTCATACAGAGTTACATACTAGAACAATCATGACAAGTTTAAGGTAGCTCCCCGTTGCCCACTAAGAGCCGGGGATCTGCTAGAGTTTTCTTCCATTAAAGGGAACTGTCGCTAAGTGCTTGCTCAACGGGGATTTTTTTGGTGGGGGGGGGTTGCCCTGAGATGATTTTTGTTGTGATTTGGCGTTATACAAATAAAATTGAATTGAATTGGAAATTAACTGAGGCTCTTGTCTTGCCACCTCTCATGCCTCGTAACGTGTGACATGCTGCCAGGAGGACACAGCCATGGAACCTCTTTCCACAGAAGCTACACCACATCCTTCAGCCACAAAAGTACTCTTATTTGTTGTTTGTTTGTGTGTGCTTGAGTGTCTGCATTTCCTCTTGCACCCTGAGGGCATTTAAGGTCAGTAGTCAGCTGGTGTTCATGGGATCCAACACTAGCGCTGTCAGGTGTGAGCTCTGCAGTGACACACACTCAGTGCTAGGAGAAACAGAGAAGGCTGTGGGATCTATGAACTTGAGAACAAAATGAACTGGGGAGCATAGCATTAAGGTATGTGGATTTTAGTGGTGATTCTAAAAAGGAAAGGGCCATTTTTACATTGCAAAATCAAAGTTTTGAAAGTGCCTTTAGCATAAAAAGATTTGAATGCTTAACCTCCATTTGATGAAAATGCTCCTGAGACAAATCTGCCCTATGGCAGCTTCACTGAAATTTCAGTTATGTAATAGTATAGCTGTAATAATAGACAACACAATACAAAGAACTGTTGTTCAATGATCAACGTGTTCGCTGATTTTGAGCTGCTACTCGGTGACTAATTAAAAGTTCAGGATGGAGAGAATCAAAAAAAAGCTCAAAGGCAGATAAGACTGACAGATGACATGTGAGCTGTCAGAAGTGAATGATTATAACCTTTATTAATTATGGGACTGACAAATGACACATGAAAAATCTAAGGCAAGGAAGAGAAGAGGAAAACATTACATAAGATTCAGACGGAAATATGAGAAGCAGGTGTAAATGATATAACACAGTTCAAGTATGTCTTTTTATAGCAAGTCTCCGACCCAGTGGCAAAAATATCTACCGGCAAAGTGTTTAACAAACTTGCAAACACTATTACAGACATGACGGCGCTTGACTAGACAAGACTTTTGATTTATAAGGCTTTGTTATATTTGACAACAACAACAACAACAACAACAACAACAACAACAAAAGAACCCAATCTGTTCCACTGTGTCTAATCCACAGTCTGTGCTTGTCTGTGCATGTACATTAACCTGTTACTGTTAAGTGTGTCCATGCATAACTGTGTACATTGTCTGCCTTTTACAGAATGTTACACCCTCATAATAGCTTGACTTTGTTTCCTAGACAACTATAGAGAGAACCGCTTTCAGGCACACAACACTGCTGTAATGTTAGCATGTGATCAAGCCACACAACAAGTTTCTGTGAAGTAGATGCATGCTGCATTGCAGTGCGTAAGAATGCAATGAAACAACGTTTTTTCAGATTTTATCACAATGCTGCAAATCAAACAAACAAACTGCAAGATTTTTGTCTTTTTTTTCTGAATTTCTGTTCAGGTTACAAAACTCTTACTGCAGTTCTTTCTGCGTGGGGTTGTTTGTATGTTGTTTATTGGTGTCTACACTGAAACTGTGGCTAATCTGTAACCACCATAGTTAGAGTGAAGTGGAATAAACAGTCTTGAGTGTCAGTCTGTGGAGCTGAATTTTGTACAGTGCCTCTCAAAACATTCAGATAATAAAATGATTGTCTGCCATGACTGTGGGAGTAATTAAGTGCTTATGAGGGGCATTATTTGGGTCTTGTTACTTCACTAATGGCCAGAGCTGCATATCTTTGAATCGTTCAGTTCAGTGACTTTGGACCCTGGGCTCTGCTGTAGTTGATGGAGAACTGAAAGTCAGTTGATCTCTACAGTAACTGCACTCTTTGGTGTAACAGTTAATAAATCCATTATTACAAAATCTGCAGCATTTCTTACTCGAGTAAGATATTTTGTTAATATATTATTGATGGTGAAATGAACAGAAGGGCATACAAGTGGAGCATGAACATGCAGGAGACTTGGAGAGTGAACATATCTGTACCACAGTATCACTATACGCTCCATATCTGTGTGTGTATGTGAGGACCAGTTTGAATTTTAAACCAGGACATTTTGGCTGGTCCTCACTTTCTCAGGCGTGTAAGGTTAGCTCAAGTGTGGCTGTGGTTAAGGTTAGGGTAAGTCTCCTGGAAATGAATGTACAACCCAAATCAGAAAACGTTGGAACGGTATGTAAAATCAAAATTAAAACTGAAAATAGTGATTTGTAAATAATCGATGTCATGTATTGCATCAAAAACAATACAGCAGCACATTATTTGATGTGATACCTCATCAGTTTTATTCTTTGTTCAAAATAAACACTCACTTCAGTCCTGATGCCTGAAACACATTCCAAAAAAAAAAAAAAGTTGGGACAGTTGCATTTCAGGTCTAATATTGAGGTAAAGCAATGAAATGATAATTCCATTTCAAACAGGTGATGTCAAAAGGTAACTGAAAACATGATGTGGTACAAATGTGGCATCCAGGAAAGGCCGAGCCTGTTAGGAGCATAGATGATCACCAGTTTGCCAACATGTGAGAAAATTATTGAAATGTTTAAAACCAATGTTCCTCAATCAAAGATAGGAAGGAATTTGGATATGTCACCCTCTATGGTGCATAACATAGAGAATATGTGGTGCATGTGTCAACAACGACGTTAAGACTTGTTTGTGGGAAGAATGGGACAAAATGATACCTGACACATTCAATCACTTGGTGTCCTCAGTCCCTAAACGTCTTTTAGGATTTGTGAAAAGGAAAAGGGTAAATGCTTTATTGTCCCATCATCATCAGGCATCATTAATTTGTCTATCAATTTTAAATTTGCTGTCAAATAAAGCACCCAAATTTTGCACAAGGTTTACAATAGGAAGCCAATGAAGAAAAACAGCTGTCATGTGTGTTGACAGGCCTAAATGCCAACCCTCTCAGTTTATTATTAATAATAATAATAATATGTAATTTAAAATATATAAGAATGTGATAACAAATGTTGAAATAAGTGAGCAAGGCTGTGAGATTTAAAAAAATATATATACTAGATGTATTTGGACACTCGGCATTTGTTAGGTAGTCCAATGAATTAACTCAGAAAATGGTGACTTGTACTTTCATTGCTGTTTGTGAGAAGCTACATTGTGACTTTGTGTCCAGAAGTCATCCTCACTGTGCAGTGAGATGAAATGGTTTGTGTTCTCTGATTTCCTACCACACCCTCCTGATCACTTTCAGCACAGAAGTGTACCTGACCTGTTTTGGGTCAGGTTGAGTTATAAAGAAAACGTGTGAATATCACTGTATTTTTATTTATGTCTTAGAGCAGTGGTGAGATGCTGGGAACAAAGAGGTGTTACTAGTGAAACGAAGGAAGTGATAGTGTGTGGTGGGAGGTGGAAACCAGTTTAAACCTCAGCTTCGATTACAAGAGTGTCTGTCTTGTGTTTTAACCTTTGTTTTGGCATTTAGACACCTGCTAAAGAGTAATGGTGAATCCACTGACTCTTGCAATTTGACCAGGCTTTACAGACTTTAGGCAGCATTCACTGACTTATCCCAAAGGGGTCAGGTTTATCCTGATATCAGTCACTGCAAAATATATTTAGAGATGCCAAAGCCCTTGTGTGTTGGTAGGTCCTGACTGAAACATGTCAACGGCTACTGGGTGGATTGCGGTAATGCTTTGTATAGATATTCATGAAGCTGACTGACTGACTTTGGTGATCCTCCGACTTCTAGTGCCACCATAACATTTACATGGGTTTTGCTAAGGATGAATTGCAATAACTTGGATGAATTTATTTTCACCGCTTTTGTTTATAACCAAATTCCTGCAAAACCTATACCATTCCTATGAGCCTCAGTTACTTTGTGTTTAGCGCCAGTAAATGTTAGCATGCTGTGCCTAAATATAGCCTCACAAAGCTGCTATGGCTGTAGTACGGAAGAGTATTAGGGCCACTGCATAAATTTTTTTTTTAATTCTGACTTTAAACTCAGAATTCTGACTTTATTCTCAGAATTCTGATTTTAAACTCAGAATTCTGAGAATAAAGTCAGAATTTAAAAAAATGTATGCAGTGGCCCTAATAAAAAAAAAAATGTATGCAGTGGCCCTAATACTCTTCCGTACTGTAGACTTGTAGTCTTGTTTTAAAAGTTGTTTTTGTTACTGCTTAAAGTTTGTTGATTTATTATCATGTGGGATTTCTCTAAGTGGCTAAAATTAACCCTAAGTCTTTTATAATGATTGTTTAAAAGAATTCATATATGTCTTAAATACATTAGCTTCCTTAATTGACTTTTTTCTGCTTATGTTTTAAATGAAGCCAAACATTAGTCACTGTACGATACAGCCAGTGTTTAAGACTACTTTGCTCAAGTAGGGATCAAGATAAAGGTCTGGGCATCTTTATGTGTTATAGTATGGAACATTGTGCAGTTTGTTTTGGGCAAATTCACACTAAATCAAATACCAGAAGGAAATAGCAACACACACACATGACTCAGACACAAACAAACAAGTTGAACTAATTAGCAATCAAGACAGAAACCTCTACCCCTCCCTGCAGCCTTGTGTCGCAGCCTTTAATTAGGCCAGACATCCAACCATGCTTCTTGTTGATCCTTTGTTAGACTTACGTAACTCATCACACCAGGCACTGCAAATTAGCTTATAGACAATAATGGTATGCTTTTTTTTCAATGAATAGTCTATGCTGTGTAAACACCTACGGTTTGGTCTTTTACCTTTTATCATCCACCTTCATTAAATCCCTCCCTCTCATCTCCCCAGTTCCCAGAGCAGCTCACCTGCCTAGTAATGCCCTTATGAGTATTGTCAAGATATTCCTCCTAGCAACCAGATTCTAGAAACACTGACACTGACTTCCTCTATGAGTCTGCATGTACTAGCTGTACACATACTGTACATAAAGTACGTGCGCATGTGCCCTGGTAGGGATTAGTGCGAATCCTTGGATCAGGGAGGCTTTACACAGCATTAGAAGTGTCATTCTGTCACTGTACTGCAGAATACTTGTATTGTTTCATGTGTTCATTTGTACAAGAATACTTCTGTTATAAGATCCAGTAAAATATTGTATCACTAGAGGTCTAGAGTGATGCCTGTATTGCCTCGGGGAGCCTGTGGTCTTTCACTTCCTGCCTCGTGCTGTGAGGAGGAAATAGAACATGAGTTTTCAGTCAAGATTCTCCCATTTCCATGAATCGATATCAGCACTATGTACTGTGGGCAGCTGTGGTGTCATTTTATTATTCTGCTCTATGAAGTCGATGCGATTGAACTAATATCATGTTGTTTCGCTCATCCAGAGGCATATCGCTGTCTTTGAAAAGGAAAAGGACATCATCTCAGTAGTAAGTCTTCAAATTTGTTTTGTCTAATTTATCTATTAGTAATTTTGATTGCTTTTATTTTTCTATGCCAAGTAGATTTGCAAAAAAATATATAGTCAGAGCTGTCTTCTCATTGTATTAAACTGTGATATGTTTTAATCGCCAGTGTCGTCAGTTGGTGGCTGTGTGCGATGAGATCCTGACCTCCAGCTCTGAAGCAGTTCTTACCCGCACGGCTGAGCTCGAGAGCATCGACCTAGTGCCTGTGTCGCCTGGTGATCAGCTGGTAAACACGTCTTCTTCCTCTTTCTAACCCTGACCATTTTGTTATTCAGTGCGGAACCTAAGAATAGTCTTTTTGAATGTCTGAGCAGATGCAGATTCTATTTACTGTACCAATAGTAACTGTAACAACATACAAAATGTAACATGTTTGTAAATGTTATGTTCTGGCATCTGGGGTCCCAGAAAAGTACAGAAAATAACCAACTTCTAAAAAATATGCTAAATTCCCTTCATTTTAAACACATTTTCCTTTTAATTTGAAATGAAATCTTGTGTATTTAAACATTTTTCATGTTAAAAAATATACTAATCTTAAAAACTCTTGATTTTTCTTGTATAAAAATTATAACAGATCGTTTTAAATATTTTGAGAACAATCTACTAGTAAAATCTATTAGTGAGTATTCATTGTATTTTCACAAAAATTTGTTCTTCATTTGAAATGAAAAACTTATTTGCAGTTATTAAAGCCATTTTGTACTAAGGACGTGCAACGACAACATGCAGGGCTGATTCCTGCGGCTTTGTTAGATACTAAATGAATTCCATACTAAACTTCATCATGGTTTGCATGATTCCTTATTATTATGAAAAATATCAATCTAAACTTACTTTATTATGTCTCACAGACACTCAGCAAGTTTCCACCATGAATGGGTTTGTCTGCTCATTTCATCTGTGCAGCTTCTTCTCATCTCATTATTACCATCATTTTGGGAAGTCTCTCCCCATTCTACCACTTCCCCAGCTTCTTGGCCATCTTACTCTTACTTTCCATCACTCTCTCTGGCCTTCTGCAGTACTCGTTTTCTGCCTTTATCATTGCCTGATGGTTTCCATCATCATTTGGTTACATTCATCGCGTCTTTCATCTAACTTGAGGTTTTTCCTTACCCGCCTCTCCCTCTGTATCCTCTCACATTTAGTTGTCCATAAACAAGTGTCTGCTCCTGGCTCTTCTCTTCTCCTAATGTTTTAGTGTTCAGTTTGTACATTAAATAAAAAGGATTATAGCTGTCTTATTTCACTGTACATCATCTAGTGTCCTCTTAGTTTTGCTCTCTTAAAGAGCAATTTTGTTTTTTTGTCCAATTTTCTCACCCTTTGTGTACTTGTGTACTCTGCCCATTAGGTAAGAATATCTCTTGTTAGATGATAATAGCATTCCCATTTCCTTGTGCTTACTCACATCCTTGATTACCTGGACTTCCTAATCATCCTGTGCCAATTTTCTAGCCCCGTTTCATCCCCTCTGATGATGTAGACAGGCAAACATTTGATTTGAGCTTGTGTCCAAGAAAACTCTGGGTTGCAACACGTGTGTGAAAAGGGAGGGTTTTAGCTAAACTGCTGGGAGGATGTTTTCACAGTTCTTCTACAGTAGAAAAGGATCATAGGAATTTGCCCAATTGCTAGCAGCAAAGCTTGCAGACAGAGAGAAAGTGACAGAGAGAACATGATTTACCACATCACCAGTAACAAGGTCTGGCCTTCGAAGACTGAGCATCATGGGAAGTAAAGACAGAAAGGGAAGTGAAAGGTGGGAAGAACAATAATTCACATACACTGAATGTACAAACTGTGCTCTTGCTTAATAGTAATTACTGATATAGAAGTAAAAGCTAGCTTGTTTTCTTTTTCCTCAAATTTAAATTCCTCCCTGTTACAGAGGGGACGATTAAGACATGCCTAACAAAATACTGACTCAGCCTAGTGTGTATCCTTGAAATAATTCCCAGTAAATGTCTTAGCTTAAAGCACAGGAATTTATGTTTTTTTATGTTTTCATGATAACATAAAAATTCTTTATTTAGACAGGGAAAAATACCTGGCTAGTTAGTGTAGGTGAGGAATAGCATGTGACATTATGTGAATGTGAAGATACATTTTGGATTTGCAGTGTGGGATTTTTGCCAAATATGTAGTCAGAATATTTAAAAATGTACTTTATCCATCAATTTATTATTCGTTAGCAAGCACTAAATAATATGTATGTTATACTGTATATAGTAAATTATATAATGTACATTACAGTGGCAGGGATTTTTTTTTTAAGCTCTGGTCTTTCACTTTAAAATAATTCTTGTTTCTGTTTTCATGTGATATGTCTCCTTGTGCCCATTATGACTTAAGACAATCAGTCACAGCAGGCTGGAGACAAATGACAATATCTCCCCAGAAACCAACAACAGTGACAGTAACAAAACATCTTTCTGTGTCTCTCTCAGGGGATTGAGATTGCGTCCACTGGCTCCAGTAACCACTATGTGACGGGCACAGCTGCTGAGGTCAGATGCTCATATTTACTTTCCTTCTTTCACTGACTCGCAAACTACACAGAGTTAACCGTCATCTGCCAGCTCACTGAAGTGCAGCAAATGTCTGCTTTTCTGAAACTCCAGACCAAAAAGTTTATTTCAGGAACAGTTTGTCTATTTGTTCCATCAGAAGAGCTGTGGGTCACATCCAGCAGAGTCCAGTGCCTTACACTTTTTTTCCACAGGACATAACCCTTTCACACTCATTTACACTTCTCCAATCAGAAGGCTCTGATGGGCTAACCCAGACACTGCACTTGTCAGAGTCTCTCACTGAAGCTGAAAGTATATTTTCAGTTATGTAAAGCTAAAATAAAGTAGGAGAATGATCAGTTATATGTTTTCTCTAAATACATCAACACTCTTCAGCATTTAGTGGTTGTTCTCAGTAGCAGGATCAGTATACAGTGATGTCCTTCTCTATTATGAACCCTTCTCTCTATGCTTAAATTTAGATTTATTATGTAAGCATGAGATCTGCAGAAATCCCCTTTAAATATTTGTGGGTGACATTATTTTTAGATGTCGTCTTACAGGCCCTGTCTTTGCTTCACTGTTTTGAAACCAAAATGAATCTGAGCTCATGTGCTGCAGATACTTTGTAATTATAAATATCTGCAAGAAGTGACTTGTTCCAAATGCTGCAGACTGCATGGAAACCATCAGTTCATACCGCAGTGTCAATGTACTGTGCCTCTATTAGTTGTCATCTGCCATATTTATTTCTAATAAACAGACAGTTTTTTTTTATTCTTTATTGTGAAGATAATTAAATCAATGATAAGTAAAAAAAAAAAAAACATGCCCCAAATGTGCCCGGTCTCAGCAAATTAATCACAATAATCATCTCAAATTAATCAACTTAAGCAATCCTTGTTCAAGAAGGAGTTAGAATAAGTTATAGTCCTACCCCTTTTTATATTTTTCTGTGGACTTTATTATTAAAAAAGTAAACAACTATCCATTACCTGTCTTAATTAATCAATAAATCAGACAATCATTCCAGTTAAACAGTTAAACTGCCGGTGAATTACCATAGTATGTTGATGTTGTTAACTTTAAACTGATTCAACTTTTGAGTTGCATAAAAACTTCTGAGGAAGCCAAAGATCAGTGAGATCAGGAAGCTTGTGGAAATAAACAAGGTTTGAGGAGTGTTTATCAGCCAGAATAAGGAGGGCTTGTAAGATGAATGTGAGGGTAGCTCCTCTGTGGGATGGAAAAATGGAGATGTTATTTTCCATGATGTCAACAACAAAGCACCCTAGACTCCCCAGCTACTGCAGTTACATCACTATCACTGGCTGCTAATAAACACACACAAAGTACATGTCTATGTGCACGATCTATGTACTGCTGCACACACAGATAGAATCTGTAGAATCATAGAATCAACTCTAATAGTCATTATTCCATTTCAGTGGACAACAATAGGAGCCAGAGATAAGACAATACTGTGAGACAATATAAGTCTGCCTATAGTCAGTAGTTACTAGATCAGTGCTTTGGATTTTGCATAGATGTGATTTGTCAGATTTGTGAAACATTCACTGGATTGCCCGGAAGGAGGCGTTGTTAAAGTAGCATGCTCTCATCCATCTTCAAAAGCTTGGTGACCATGCAATTACATCATGGTGCAAATCCTGTTAGAGACACCACTGTCAAGTAAAGTAAAAAAAAAAACAAGAAATTAGGTCATCCAGTACATCTGGCAAAGAAAGTTCAAGAAAAACATTATTCCACAAGTTGCTGCGTACAGTATCCAGCTATGTTTTCATTTGTTGGAGGTTTTTATTTGTGTTTGTCTCCTCTTTTCACAGCCTTCAAAGGATATCTATTCGAAGATCTTGGCTGGTGATGAAGTAATTCAAGTCAATGACCAAGTAGTGGTGAGCAACATAGCATACAGATTACATGTTCAGTACATAAGCCTGCATGCGTTTTGGACTGTTCTGTTCATGTGTGGTTCTGTTCGACTTAATATTCTCACCTCCAAAGTTCAATAACTGTTCATGTCAAGTGTCTAACCTTCCTGTTGGAATACTCATCTATGTTGTTAGGTCGGCTGGAGCAGAGCAAATCTTGTGAAGAAGCTGCAAGAGAATCCCAGCGGAGTGTCTCTGGTCCTAAAGAAGATCCCTGGGTCAGTGCGGTGCAAAGACTCAGTAAAGCAGCTCTCGTCTGCACAGGTCAGGGAATGCTGAAGTCTTCCTTCACCGACCTAAGCACTTCACAATTTAGATTGCATTTGTCAAGATAGTGGAAGTGTGAATGTAATATCTTTAAACTGACAAAGAATTCTCATACATCTCATACATCGTCACCAACCAACTTCAACAATCCCACTTAGAAAGGTGGGATTTGAACATTTTTTAAATAATTTGTGAAGCCATTAGAAAATTCCCAAGCCAGAAGTGTTATTGTTGTGGACATAGAATTTTAATTATCCACCACTCAGGTTCTGTTTAGGATATTTACATCCAAGGTGACACATCAAATCCTGCTTTAGCAACTGGATTATTTACACCTGCACCTTCTCTTTCACAAGAATCCCCTCTTCCGTTTCTGTTGAACATCACTTGGGATCTGTTACACGCTCTCACTAGTCACTACGCTGACTGTTGTTCATCTCTGAACAAGTTACACACTGAAAGCGCACATACACACAATGCATTTCACACATCCCTTGTGACCATTGCCATGTTAATCTCAGCCTCAGCTGACAGCGTAGGATGAGACAACACACCTGCCCTGCTATTAGCATGAGTTTCACAGATTGTGCGTATGCTTTTATGTGCATGTGCCATCTCCTGGGCTACAGAGTGTGTTGATGAAGACCTGAGGAGAAGATGCTCAGATGCTTGTTCTGCTGATTTCTTTTCAGAAGGAGGAAGAGGAGAAAGAAGGGAGGTTAGAGGAAAGAGAGGAAAAGGAGGAGGAGGAGAATCTAAGGCACTCCATATTTGAGAGGGTAGCAGCTTCTGTCAGGTCCCTGTCTTTTAGGTAAGAGTATCATTTTGCCTTTTATTTAAGAAAGCATTAATGTAAACAACACAGGTTTCCAAATGAAAATGTTTTATGAGGAAGAGAAAGCATTCTGAATGTCTAATAGGCCTCAGGGATACACAGAAAGATTAAGTGTTTTAATTTAACACTTAATAATAACTAATAAAAAGACTGTCTGACCTGCTGGAAGTGGCTGCTTGCGAGCATAATAACTCTGGATTTCAGTATGCAAATAGATCAGGGCGGATATAAGTTTGGTTCACTATGTTACCAGAGATTCTCTCAGTAGAGCTGAACCTCCCACAAAGCCTTTTGACCTTGTTAATCTGCCAGGACCTGGTAGGCTTGTGATGAGGTCACACTGCAAATGCCACAAATTCCACTAGGCACACCCACAACCTTCAGTTGGCTGGAAAATAAAGAGATGAGGAGGAAGATGAACAGATTAGGAAGCTTTAGAGAGTTGAAGACATACAATAGGAGAAGGGGGAAGGAACATGGAGGAAGAAAAAAAGAGCGATGGAGGAACAGTGTGAGCTGACGGAGAGCAGGCATACTCAGACAAATGGAGACAGTGGGTGGGATGGTGCATTAAGTTTGTAAATAATTTTGCCATGCCCTGATACACTACAACTCCAAGAACAAACTTTAGACTACTGGCACTGACAGTCATGTCTCATTCCTTTAAAGGGCAATACAGGTTGTTTACACTCTTTATATTAATATAAGTATACTGTATATAAATAGATAAAGAATGTGTCAGTTTTATGTCAAAGACAACTCCATGTTTGTTCATTGTTTGATTTTTAGTAAATTGCATGATTTTGACTGCTGATTGTCGCAGCTTAAATGACGCACCATTAGTGAGTGATACTGATTGTTGCTGTGCTTATTTTGTTTTCCATTACAGGAAAGCCATTCAGGGGCCAGAGATACATAAGCAGCATATGGGACAAGAAGAGTCAGAATTATCCTCTGACAGGGACCTGAGCCCGACTCTCACTTCATATCAAAACCAACAGGGGTTGTTATCATCATTGTCAGCTTCAGGTATGAAAAATAAAGGGAAGGAAAGATGCTTTCTTTCTTCAGAAGTCCTGAACTTGTGCTCAAGTTGTATTTTGAGGTGATCTTGTTTCAGTTGTTAAACCAGGATACTGAGGTGTACCATAATGGAGAGAGAGTTAATTGTAAAGTGTAAAAACAAGCATAATGTGCATCAGGGGTCTCCAGCTCTTTTTCCTTAGAGAGATACTTTGGCAAAATGAGAGTGGCTGAGAACTACTCATGTTTTATGTTAGGCTACTAGTTATGTTTATTTGCACATTATCATGATCTCAGATGTCCACTGCAAATAAATGTCCACAACCCCGCTTAGAAATCATAGAAAAAGATGCCCCCTATAGGGCCAGTATTTGCCTGGGTATCTAACCATGCATTGACAGTTGGCAGTACACCCATTGGGTATGTAATGCGTATAATACTTAGCAAGCAGCAGCTGCTAATAGCGAATTTGGTGTGGCGTTACTTACTTTATTGAAATGTAGCCTAAACGTGCTGCATAGATTATCATTTGCACCATGAACACCGGTGAGATTTATGGCTTAGATTGAGTAAAAGAGTATTAGTTTTACTCTTATTTATCTGTCAACACATATTTTCTCAGGAGAGTCTGAAGGTTTGGACAGTTCAAAGCTATCCACAAGAAGAGATCAGTTGTCATCACCCAGAAGTCCTTCACCCCTAGGATTTGGATCATTCAGGAGTCTGTCACCAGGACCACGGGCCAACCAGAAAACAGCTAGCACTAGTTCCTGTCCTGAAATGGTCGGCCACACGGTGAGAGGAAGGGAGCAATGTTCCCCACCAGACATTTTACCAACTCAGTTGACAGGGTTTGGATTAAACTAGTCTGAAACACTGTGTCATATTTTCCTTTTAGGGGGATAAGGACACAAAGAAGGCAAAAGGTACAGTGTTTTTTTTTTCTTTGTCTGTAAAAACATACTAGCATAAGCAGGACATTGAGCCACAACTAGGTCAAGCCTGGTTTGACAGGAGTCTAGACCAACTCAGAACAAATGTAAAAACAGGTTAAGGAAATAATAAAAAAAAAAATTCTGTATTGTACTACTGCCAGATGCAAATCTATTAATCAATACATACAGGTTTGAAATCCATTTTAAGCAACTCCAGTAGCAATGCATAGGCTGTGCATTTGTGTGTACTTTCTAAAATAAGATATGTGTTGGAAAGAAAAGAGAAAAAGATAAGAAATGTGGTTGAAACTAATTGTCTTTTGACTATATTATATTAGGTGTTTGGTTTGGTTGATAGTTTGGTTGTAATATATGCCAGAGACATCAGATAAGTGGTACTGTAATGGAATAAAGACTTCCAAACCAAATTTGGTACAGTTTACTCAAAAGTTGAGATCACCCCTGGATGTAATTTCCTCTCAGGAATGTCAAATAGCCGGCGCCGTGTGTCCTGTCGTGAGCTGGGCCGACCAGACTGCGATGGCTGGCTGTGGAAGAAGAGAAAGGACAGCGGTGTCTTCATCACCCAGAAGTGGCAGCGTTTCTGGTTCATCCTTAAGGGGCCTTCACTTTACTGGTACACCAGCCAACAGGTGGGCATATGGGAGTAAAATGATGAGTGTACTTTATCAAACACCCAGCCTCAAAAATGATTAGTTGTATTTTACTGTATTATAATTTTAGTTTAGTATGTGCTTTGATATCATACTGTATTATTAGATATGAGGGCTTTCCTTCTTCCATACTGTATAAACATAATATTTAAATGTAAATGTTGCTGCTTTGAATGGTTTGAATGTACTGTAATTATTTGTGGATGTTTTTTCTATAGGATGAGAAGGCGGACGGTCTGGTCAACATAGCCAGCTACAGAATAGAGAGTGCCGGAGAGCACAAGAGAAAATAGTAAGGATGAACTCAATGACGGGTCATATTAACAGGCCTTTTAACATTCTATCTAGGATTACATGAGACTTACTTGTTTCTAGGTATTTTAAAAACTACATCCCTGAAACTATTTTAATCATTTAGACATAACTGGGTAGTTTGAAACAGAGCTTTTATTGTCCGTGTGCACAACAGAAGATTTGTTTTGGCTTTATGCAATAGTTATGTATGTGACGCAGGAAACAGGGCAACGTTCTTCTTTATATTTAAAGTTTATTCTTAGAGGAAGTGGATATTATATGTGTTTTATGTATTCATGGAATTTTATTTCTACTGAAGATGGGGAGTGGAGACATTTCTTTGTTATTTATCTTTGCATGATTTATGCATTGGAGTTTCTCTGTGATGAATTTCTTGGAGGCCTTTGTGCATTCACCTTCTCTGTTCTCCCACCAGCGTGTTTAAAATGTGCCACGAGCGATTTCAGAACTTTTTCTTTGCTGCTGACAATGTCAGTGACATGAGCAAGTAAGTTGAAATAACTAAAAGCTCAGGTTTTGTTAGGCCTGTCTGTCTTCCAGAATATTAGCTAAGGCTATTTTATAGACATTTTCTTATATAAATGAACAGTTCTAACTGCTGTGAGTGCACCAGCTCCAATATAATGTCATCATTGATTCATTTTTTGCAAACTGTGAGCACATTACAGGTGTTAAATCAGTCTATACCAGGTGTTGGTCTAACTTGCCCCCTACAGGTGGTTTTACAGCACCGTTTTTGTGCTGTTTTAAATTATGTTGAAATATAAATATATGATCCCCTAGTTCTAAAAATTACTGAATCTGAAAGTGTAATTGCTTTATTGTAGATGTTGATAAAGGTTGTCATTTTATTGTATTTTATTTTTTTTACAGATGGATTAATTGTCTAATTGCAGCTATACAGAAGTACGGGAAGCTCGAAAAAGGCCCCGACAGTGAAGAGGGTTGGCCATTTTACCTTTTAATCACTAAAACATATACACCGAAAAGAGAAATAAATGAAATAATAGTGATCTGTTTTTTTTTAGATTATGGTTTTGTTCATTCCTGGTTATAAAATTTGATTAGACAGAGTCAACGGGCTGAAGCATAATTACGGTTGCTATGGTTACTTGCATTTTTTTTTACCACGTCCTGCCAGCCAATTAAAAATGATCACAAAAATTGAATGTACTGCAGTACACATGTTGCACCAAGTATTTCAAATATACTGGCATGTACTATAATCATTAATTTAACACCCATGTTAATTTGTGAACAGAGTGTTACAGTGAGACGGAATCTGAAGGTGAGAGCTCACCTTCACCACGCAGAAAAAACAAGGTCAGTACAATTGGAGGGTTACAGATGCGTAAAGACACGGACACACCATTCAGAGTATCATCCAGGTTTTCATGTTTCATTATGTGCAGCAGAAAGCACAGTCCAACACTCTGCCTCACACCAAGGGGAAGGTGACCAAGGCGCCATTAATGAGTCCTCCAGCAGGGGGCAGCAAAGGAACAGGTATGTACTCCCTGATCCTGTCGCTCAGCTCATTTCTTGCTGTTTCTGCTGCTTTGTAATTTTCTTTCTCTGTGAATAATTTCTTTAATCTCTGAAGACTCATTGTCTCTCTAATATATGTTTTAATCATTTGTGCTGAAGAAAATCTTCACTCCGACATGTTGCTTTACCCTGTGGATATATGACCCAATAAACTTCTGAAAATTGTTCATCTTAATGAATGTGTTCAATAAACTCCACTGCCCTGTTTTGTATTTAATTCTCCTGTCACATTCATGTCTCCAGCTTTATTTGCTCATACTTTGCTCCCCTGCCCGTGTTTCTGTCCTTTTAAAAAGGTGCCACAGAAGATGAGATGAGCACAATGTTAAACAACATAAAAGAGGGAGGAGTCTCCCTGATCGGCCATGATCAGCCGTTTACACAAGACCACTTCAGAAAATCATTCATTCGACGCAACAAGAATCCCATCATCAATGAGAAGGCGCTCACGCTCCGGGCCCTGCAGAGCACTCTTAAGGTGAGCAGAAACCCAGGCTCGGTATTTATTGCGCAATACTCATCAAATTAAGTATCATGATACATTGGCCACTGTTTATAATAATCATTTAATAAATTCTTGGGTCTTAAAATCCAACAATACAGGATATGTTTTGCCTTGAAACCTGACCAGGCTTAGATCAAGGTAATATGACTTGATTCAGGAAAATTCTATAAAGAAGCAGTTGTTCACCTGTGAAGCAGTCACGTGTCTATGGCACATTTTCGATTTGACTGAAGAATAAAAAGAATTAAAATGGATCATACAACTCTCTTACACTGCAAAGATTTTGTTCTCACTCAGTTAAACTCGGTCTGAGTGCACATGTGTGGTCACCAAAGCCCCTATTTGCCCTGCAGGCAAAAGAAGCAGAGTTGCAGCAGATCGACAAGATTCTGGAGGACTCTGAGCTGACAGCCTCAAAGTATCGTCAATGGAAGGAGCAAAACGAGGACCTTGTTCAAGAAATTGAAAAACTGGCCGCACCCAAGACTTCCAAAGGAGGGGACGAGGCAGTGGTGCAGGACCCGCCTGCTGAGGAGATTGCCTTGGAAACTGTTGCCAAGGAAACAGCCACCACAGAGACGGAAGGTGCATACAGACTGAGCCTGAGCCGTGGGGAGCAGTTAGTAGATCCAGAGCCATCCCCTATCCTCATGGAAATCCCACAGGGTCCTTCTATCACAGAGTCCAGTCCAGCTTTGGACCTGTCTCTGGGATCGCTGCAGGATTCAATAAACAAAGAGCTGAGTGAAATGGCAATGAGCGGAGAAATAAATGAGAACTACTTCTACATTTAAGATCTGGCCAGGAGCAGTCAAACCACTGCAGAGGTTCTTGTTTACCAAAAGCACCGTGCATTTCACCATGTCCTCTGCTGAGTATTAGTTCAAACGACCATGAAATCAACATTTTAATCAGTTCTGCCAGTGAAATGCATCGGTGTAGACTTTTGTCTTTTCCTGTTGGAATCAAATTTAGAGCTACTTGCTCTCAATAAATATGGCTTTAAAGCTGAGAAATGAACAATTTGCCAAGTGTCAGTCTGAGTAGAACCTTTCTTAGAATTCAATGAAAATTTGTAATATAAGTCATGTCTCTTGGAATGTGATATGTAAATACAGTGTTACTATAAATACTGCGTGTATTTGATTATTGACATTACCTTAATAAAGGTAAACATTGGAAATAATTTGTACAACATACTGACTTCAGAAATACTGTTGTTGTAGCTCTGTGTTGGTCTAGTTCATGCCCTTACATGCACATCTTTGTACTATACATAGGTGATATGGCAGAACTGTATGACCAACTGTTTTGTGCTTTTTCATTTGTATGTCTGTCTATATGAGCATGTTGGAGACAGAGTAAGCAGACTATAAATGCATGCCTTTGCATATAGTTTATAGTCCATGTCTGTCTTTTTATGCATACATTTTAGCTTGTTTGGGGATTTGTTTGCAGCTAGCTTTTTGTGTTGTATCTCTTTAAGCTGTGTGCTCAAGGTCACTTTGCTGAATAGATATAATCTGCTCCAAAACCTTGTCTTAATGTGGAGAGGCGCTGTCAAAGCCTTCTGTGACCCAGACTCATTGAACAGCACTGGCAGCAGTACAGAGATATTAGCTTCTAAAAGGTTTGTTGTATGTTACAGTGCTGCGGCACAGAAGATATTTGATGGTGCAGTTTTGAGCAGCCTCATACACATAAGTTATGCAAAAAAAAAAATCTTTTGAACCACATAAACTGGCAACACATCCATTCACAGTTTGCCATTGGCTGAATGAGGTTGTTTGCTACCAGCTGAGCAAACTGAATAGTTCATTCTCTCTTCAGGTCACGATCTGCTTATATAAAATGATCCAGTAGATTAAACTGCAGTGGCCTTGTCTGCTGTGTGTGGGCTGCGCTCATCTCTCTGCCACTTGGCTTTGTGTGGAGAAAATGAATTTGAATTAGCGTCCAGTATTTTAACAACCTCTATATAGCCTCAGTTTGTTTAAGTGTTCATACAAAGATGTGCACATACAGTGTAATTAGTAATGTGTGAAATTGGACACTGAGTACAGGAGCAAAATCAATCCATGCCCATTTATTTTTGTTCATAATCTTTTTTTATTTAAATCTGTATTTATCTGCTTTTACTCTTAATTTCACATAAAACTGTGGTGCTAGGATGCAGTACACAGTGATAAATCAATGCAGAATGCAGCATCAAGTATAAACACCCCATAGTAAATTAACACCAATGAACAATTTACAAAGAACAAACAACACCCTGTTGTACATCCTCCTCCTCCTGTTCTTGTCATAAAGTCTGTAATGTCACATTCATTAGATTAGATGAAAGCTTTGTACAAAGATTTACCCTGACAGACAGGCTAAGAGATTAACAGATTGTTTGTAATGTTGTGCACACGTCTAAAATTAGCCTTTTTCATTGCTCACAGTGACTGAATCAAAAGCCCATAAAAAGCATCATTTTGAGAGAAAATTGTAAAACTGTCGGCTGCATTATAAAAAAACCACATTAACAAAACAAGAATGCCATATTTATTAATTTAAAATACTGATGAAATGAATTGCTTTCACTTTGCCAGTGGTAAGCTATTTAACACAATTTAAAACTATCTCTCATATTGATAGCCCTAACATAGTAGAAACAGCTGCTAATCTACTCATATTTTATCACAAATATTATACATCTCACAGTTTTGTTTGAACACACAAAAAGTCAGGTTTCTTGCTTCCGGTGCAAATTCATGTAAAAGGCAGCACAAAGAGACACTTCAGTCATGTTTCACCACTTGTTACAGTTAAAGGCAGAAGGTACTTGAACTCTTTTTTAACCTTGTTGAATCTGTAGCAATCTTTGTACTCTGTGATTGGTTGTTATGATTTTTACACCCCAAAATTATATTTCTGTCTATGTCAAGAGGCAAACATCCATTGTGTTCATACCCATTATTAGAGTCCATTATTCAGTGAGTGGCAGTATCCTGTAGTTCACAGTCATTAATGACTCATTTCATTAAGTGGCAGATTTATTACCTCATGAGCTGGAAGTGACTTGTCCATTTTTATCCATGATGTCACACTCTAACAGCTGACCTCATATACATCTGTGTCTGGCTTGTTGGTAATCTCCGGACACGAACCACATGCAGGGCAGACAGGTAGCTCTGGGCAGGATGGACAGGTCGGGCATCTTGGTCGTTTGAAGCTGAAGAGCAGACCACATCCTCCCAGCACCTGCAAACATGAACCCAACCATCCAAAGTACAGTGAGCCGCCAGGACGCAGGCTAAGGTGGGGGATCCTGGGGTTGCTCATCCCTTGACTTGGATCTATGATCCCCAGTCTTGTGAGGTTGTGGGTGTACACCCCTAATGCAGTTAGGCTCAGCAACCCAGCCATCACCACCAGGAGTCCCCCTGTAGCTGCTACGCCTCTCAGAGGTATATCTGTCCAGCAACGGACCCCGATACAGGCCAGAACAATACCAGTGCCACATAGGAACAAGGAGGTCAGGACCAAACCTTGTGCTAGGTGAACCCGAGGGTCTCTCTGGTAGGGACCTGCTACAGGCAAGCACTGCTTCAGCTCTAAGTGCTCCACCTGCAGGCAGCTTTCCCAAAGTCCATCTGTTTGCAGTAAGAGCAGAGCGTCCGCTGACCCAGACCTGACCCCCATCCCTTGACCTTTGATTCCAGATCGAAAGAGTAACCCCGGCCGTGTCATGCTTAGACGTGCCTGTCCCTCTCTCCACTGAGGGGTGATGGCAGCAGTGAAGACGAGGACTAATCCCAAAGGGGAAAAGACAATCCCCATGACCATGGATGCTGGAGTGTGCATTCTAAATGGTCTAACCTTGACTCTCTACCAAAACTCTCAAGGAATATAACTAATTTGAGTTTGGTAAAAATGAAGCAATGTGCTTTTCAATGTGGGTAAAAAAAACAGCGGCTGCTTCTTCTCCAGACAGGAATGCTGCCTCAGCGGTTGGGTGTTGTGAGACTACTCAGGACAATCTGGAAAAAAATAAACAACACAATTGTGATGAAGAAGAGGATAAAATCTTGTCTTTTGTTTCTCAAGTTGAAGAAAAACACTTCACAAATGTGTCCTATGACCAGACGCCAATTTAACAGGGTCACAAAAAAGGTCTAAATCAGCTGTTAGCAAAAGCAATGATCAGTACAATAATCAAAAAACTTAAAGCTCAACAGCTTAATAAAGAGAAGCTCATCCATTACCTTCTTCTCAAGACTCTCCTGTCTTTTAGCGGCAGACTCCTTAGTGAGGCAGCGCACGTCAGGTTGAAGTGATGGAAAGAAAGGATGAGATAATGTGAGAAACAACAAAGGTACGAAGTGAAGAAGAAACAAGTGCTCGAGCAGCAGCAGCAAAAAGCAGAAGGAGGTTTGGCTTCACTGCTCCAGTGCCGGACAGGAAAAGACTGAACAGTCGATACAGTGTCTGTTGCTAGGATACGACAACCTGGACAGCCTCAGTGTGACAGGGTGTGTGTGGCTTTATCACAAGACTCTATTCAAGACCTGATTGCTTTGTGTGAACACATTTTACTATACTTGAGTTCAGCTGTGGATGTGTGTGTGTGTGTGTGTGTGTGTGTGGCCTTGTAAACTTGTGGGAACCCAAAACCAAGAACCAACTAACAACTTGTCTTCCTCGTGAGGACTGGATGCTGGTGCCCACAAAGTAAAATGCTGAATTTTAGAGACACAATTTGGTTTAAAGAGTAAGGAGTAAGGTTAGGGTTATGTTAAGGTTTGGGTAAGTCTCCATGAAATTAATGCAAGACAGATTAAATCAAACTCTGTGTGTGTGTTGTTTTCTCAAAGCCTGATGACTGATGGCCAACTCTTTGAAAGAATTCACCTGACTTAGTAATTCTGTCAGGCCAGTGTCTGAATGCAGAGTGAGTCCAGCAACGGCGTCTTAGCTTGGACAAGGAACAAAAAAATGCCCACGGGGATGACATAACAACATAACGATGTGTGTGACTCGTGCAGATAGACACACAAACACAAATATCCACAACAGTAATTTGTCTTAATGTGAAAAAGACAAGATCATTTTCTAAGGCAGGTATACAAGAAGCTGCATATTAAAGTTTGCAGGACAATTTTCTCCCCCATGACTTTTCTTTTATATCATAATGATAATGATTTATTCCCAAAGCTACAAATTTGTAATAACATATGATTAAACCTTATTGGGAGGAACTATAGTATGAAAAGTAATCTAAAAGGAGCTGTATGTGGATGACTGCACTGTGGCATAGTGCAACTCAAAGTACTGGAGAGAATGTTCAACCTATACCATTGAATTTTGTATATTTTATTAAATTAATGCTGCAGTACTTCTTCTGAAAATGTCACTGGAGAACGGATGACATTTAATTTGAGAAATCTGACCAGTCAGCTGTATTAAAGGAATGAACATTTAATTTAAAAGAAATGAAAGACAACCGAGCAGGTTTAAGCCTACGCACTGACTAATATATACTAGAAAAAATAAAATATGTTAGAACATCCAAGACTAGACAAGAATAAATTACAAGAAAATTCACATTTCTATGTTGTGAGAATTAATGTACAGAAGATGGTCGATGCTGAACAGATGGAAAACAGTGAGGTTTATTTTTAAAACAAGTTCCTGTCATCAAGTGTCACCTGTGTCTAAGATTATACTCTGCCAGCATTGTGGATATGATTGAAAATATGCTAGTATTTCGTGTTCTGCTAGCAAAATGTTTGACTTTATTGACATGGCAGGAATAGAACAAAATGACAGACACAAGGATTAGAGAGCTGAAGCAGCTGTCAAGTCATTTTCCTCATTAGGTGTGAATGGAATGGGTTTGACAGCGTCTTACGAAATCGCACCTCATTCAAAGACTAAGGTGTTTGGTATGTTTTTGTACACATCAATCATCTGTTACTTTCGTTACAGTAGAAAAGATTCCTCAGTTGTGTTTTTAAATTACTGTAAGTAGATTTTTTTTTTTTAAGTTGAGCTGAAATTAGAGCTGCACTTATCAGACTACATGATGGATTTTTGCAGAGTCATTAAGAACATACAATAACAGGCATCTGCCAAATCCTTTTATTACTGCCTGCCACTGCTATGATCTAAATGCAATGAATTCATAAGATGCCGGATTTATTTTCCATGCTGAAATGATAAGACACAAGGAATGGGAACAGTAAAGAGACAAAAACACTGCTGAAGAGGCTAGTCATGAATTGCAAATGATTAACCCCATGTGGGTTATTAATAGCCAGATGCATTCTCTCACACAGGCAAACGCACGCAGACATAGTTCTATGAAGTCAAAGTCACTTACCATTCAGGTGGGGTTGTGTGTATCTCACTGCAGATGTCGGGATGCCTCCCTGCTCGTGTGTCAGTCGCTAACACATTTCTCCCTCTGGCAGCAGATGGTGCAATCGCCTCTTCGTTATTCTTGCTTGCTCTTCCTTTTCATCTCTCCCGGTTTCCACATTTATATTTGTCTCCCCACCTGCCTCCACTGTCTAATTTTCTGTCTTCATGTCCGTTTGTCCTTGTGCATGTGTGTGTCTCTTCTTCTGCTGCTTCTCCCTCTGTCTGCTTTCCTGCCTCTGTGTATAAGTGTGTGTATGTGTGTGTGTGTGCTTGCTGAAGGATGTCTGTGTTATATCTAGGGCTGAGTGCCTCCGTGCGTTTCCCCATCAGTGTCACCAAATAGGGAAAAGCTGAGATTTTATGCAAACACTTGTGTGGAGTCTATTTTGGGGCACACAGAGCTGCTAGAGCTGCTAGCAGCTGTGAATACAAATTTTCAATCTGCATGTGTAATAAATGAAAAACAATCTCAAAAACCTATTATGCATTTTCTTTATTTTCTTAAAAAAGGGGGGGAGCAAGACATGACTAACACAACCAGAATTGCCTGCCGTGGTATAATAATGAAATATAACAGGGATATATGTTTCCTTTGAAATGATGCATAACATATAAAGAAAGAAAAGTCCTACAACATTTTACACACACTCATACACATGCATACAATAAAAGCCACTGTCAGGCTGCTGGGTTTTGAGGGTTTGAACAGTTACCTGAAAAACTCTGTACTTACACCATACAGTCACGAAATGTCCACAGCATCGGGCTAAATGATGGCCAATACTAACTCTTGTGTGGTTATTTTTTTTGGTTGGAAATGTGTGACTTTAGATTCCAAATGCAACCCGGTGTCAGGCCATTTTAGTCGTGAAACTAACGACTAAGGAAGATACTTTTGACAGTGAAAACCATTATTAGAAGGTTGTGGGAGAGAAAACACACCCCTGGTAGAAGAAATGATGAGTACGTTGAAAGCAGCAAGAATAGCAACCTCTGAAAATATGCTCTGCACAAATCACGTACAGAACTCTGTAAAAAAACAATTGAAATACATAGCAGTTTGTAGAAAATGGACTGCAACATGCGCGTGGCTAGTTCATAAAACACTGTCATATTAAAAGTTATTTACATCATTTATGTACATTCTGTTCATTATAATTGCTATTAGGTTACAAAATTAAATTCAAATAACAAAATCCATAAGAACTGGGGCGAGTGGTATTTACAAAATAAAGGAACAGTTTGGTATCTGAAATTGCAGAAACTGTTGAGGTCCTTTTAGTCCGGTTCTCTTATTAGTTTCAGCGGCCCACAGCTTACATAGTCTCTGACTGGGCGATGCTTTTAGAGATGGTTTAAACTGGCAGCTGTGATTTTTTTCATCCTTCAGTTGAGCAGACAGCTGACATGTTTTCATACTTCAATAAGAGTGACCTGGAACTGACCGAGGACCACCTCTAACATCTCAATGAGGAAGGCCGACTGGTTGGTGTAGTGTTCAATGATGTTGTCGTCCATGTTGACAAAAATCCTGAAAAAAAAAAGACCAGCAACACTTAAAAGTTATCATGAGGGAAAATCTTTTAGTGGTGCCCATCAAGTGGGACAAAAGTGTATTCATTTGTTACAAGAATATTCATCTGCAAAACTAGGACATGCAAATTGGCTCTAAAATGTAATGTGCTCTACTTTTCATTTATATGACATAAACAACAGGTCACCAGTTTTCTTGTTTGGTTAAAACTTAACATACCATTTGTTTTAAGCTTCTCATGTAGATGTCCTGTATCAGTAGTGTTAGTAACTCAGGTCACTCTCTCCTCTACTAAAACCAACTAACCTTTATGTGTTTAAGGGCTTAGTGACTGAACTAACCACCGGCTCATGCATTCTGTCTGCAGGGACATGGCTGACTGAAGACCAGAGCGAAGGAGGAGAGAGGGAACTGCAGGGAGAATGTAACCCAACCAGTTAGCTTAGCTGCTCCCTCTGCTGTGATAGCTGCCAGGAAGCAGCAGAGAAGTCACCTGATGGTGTTTCAGCCTTCTTACTAGCACCTTATAAAATACCCTCTTGTGTCTTCTGTTATTAGTCTATGAGGTGACCCAGACTATCACCAGTGTAACAGCTTTGGACCAAGTATCTTTTGAAGTAAAAGGAACTATACAGAAACTCTGCTTATGAGACGTGTGTTTTCAAAGCCAGGAAACACTCCCTACCATTAATCATCAAATTACCATATGATATGTGATATAAATTAAACACAGTGAGGTTCTTTTTTAAACAGAGCACCTAAATTCAGTGGAGGAAAAACACACCTCTTACAAAGTCAACATCTGACCTTTTTTCACTGTTGAGCTGATATAAATGTGACAGTTCCAAACCTGATGGACAACCTTCAACTTGTAACTGGAAACTTCGGAAAACCTTTATCCACATATCTCTTTCAACACTACAGAACTTCCTGATGTTCCAATGAGATTATGAAAACATAAATAAATACAACAAACACCCATGATTCATCTGCAGGACTTTTTGAAATCTTTTCATCCTCCCTCTCAATCACCTGTCTTTTGTTTTGGAGGAACTGCAATTAGTACATTCCAGGAGGCTGAGCCAACTACCTTACCAGCCCGGTCTGTCAACATGAGCTTCTTGAAAGGAGGATGAGACTAAAGCCACAAGCTAAACCCTGAATCTATTCCATGACTGTCTGTGTGAGATGCACACCTTTAATCTACCTTGTGTGTTAGCCAGTGTAAAGACACAACAAGAAACTCACCCTCTCTTGCATTTTTTGTAGATTTTCCCAATGGTGTCTTTTTGCATACTGTACTTTTCTGAAATCTGAGGAACGAAAGACATATGAGACAACAGTTAGCACAGTCTCTCGTCTAAAGAAGACATGAAAAATAACAAATAGTATAGATAATGCTATGTGAGCATGAAGAATGTGATTGCTAGAAGGTAACAACAAAACCTCAAAAATCAGGTCAGATTCCTTCAGTATGACACTTAATCATGTGACACTTACAGCTTCTCGGAGGCCTGACAGCGTTGGCGTGCTGAGCATGAGTGCATCAAATACTTCTTCTGCACTCGTCCGCACGTACAGCAAAACTTTTAAAAGTGAGAAAAGAAGAAATGCTTCAGAATCAAACAAGTACAAAAGCTTATGAGCTAACTTTGAGTTTTCTATCTACCTTTCTGTGGGTCTTCTCTGCGAGCTTGCTTGCTGGGTGGAGAGCTGTTTTGGTCTCTTTCTGGATACATCCTCTTCAGAGAACTCCTGGCAAGACCACAAACATTCCTATTAGACCGAAGTGGCCATGTGCGTCTATTTAAACGTAAGTGATTGTGATAAACCGTTCAGATTGCCTTGTGTTTACTATCTATGCCTACCTTTCGATGTCATCCATGGACTAGAGAGACAGAGAGAAACAAAGAGGAGACCAGAGATCTGATTAGACACAACTCCACTGATAAAAGCAATGCTTCATGTCCCCCTTCCCACCACTGTCTGTGCATCACACCTTCAAAATGGATAGTTATTATTATGTTAAGGCAGCATTTCTCATAACCCCTAACAGAATGTGGGCACAGATCAGACTTTTATCATTCTGGCCAATCAAAGACATTTTCTGCCTGAGACATTCGGTAAAAACTGTAGAGCTTTGGGTTATTAAGTCATTTTGTAACTGCTGGTGTCTTATTTTGCATATTCTTAATCACTTACTAAACTGCAATGCTGTTGTCTAACATAACAGTATCAACAGTTTTTTTTAATCACCTGATGCCTGTTTGCGTCTATATGCATTTTATTTCTCACACACATCCCCCTACACTCCATAGTGTGGGAAAGCCGGCCTGTCTGAACAGTACACTCACCTCACTGTTTTTGTAAGTACATGTGAGTGAAAGAAACAGAGAACATGAGGGTGGCGCATACTGTATGTCATGTGTCTGTGCTGTTACACACCAGGTGTGCATGTGTGTTTTCATGAAAGCCCCCATAGCTTAATCTCAGTGTCAGCACTGGTAGCGGCTTGTACTTGCGCCTGGTTTCGACTCCAATTAGCTCATCTCAGGTTAGTGTTTTGTCTCACTTTCACTGACATGATCCCCTCCCCTCATCCCAGCCCACTTTTCCCACCACATACTTTCCCACAGTTTTTTTCCTCGGCTGTCTCGTGCCTTCCCTATTGCCTGGAGGGATACGGAGGTCGGGCACATGATTCATTCAAAACAGAGTCAGAGGAGAGGGGAGGAAAGGGTGGCAAAAAGATGCTGGTAATATATAGTGGAGGGGAGACCTACCACACGCTGTAAGCTGGAGAGGTGTGTTTCTGGAATAAACAAAACTGGTTGGGTGACATGGTCATCCAGGGTCTGGAAGTAGGTACAATCACTGCCCATGGAGCTGGTCACTAAAGATTTGCTGGCTGAAAATAAAGCAGGAAGGTGAATGAAGTTAGAATACACTTTTGTGGATACTTTAATTACCTTTAAAGGTGTTTATTTGTAACACTTACTGTTGACATCACTAATGTTCTTCCCCCTCCTCTTGGTTCTCTTCCTCTCCTCATCACGCATCTTCCTCTCTGCACCCTGAGTACAGCACACACACACACACACACATTTGCATAGTTACAACAATGACTTTAAATCTCATGGGTGCAGAGTTGGATTGCATGTTAAAACGATGAACAAAGTAAGAGGACATTAAGGACTTACCTTATCACAGAAAATCTTGACCTGGCAAGCAGCCCTGTGTATTAGCTTGTTGGTTACTGAGTCATAAGTGTCAATCTGCAGGTTTAGAGGCAGGCCTTTCACTCCCTTCTGAGAAGAGAAGTCTGTGCTCAGGGAGTTGATGCCAATGTACACCTGGAGAATAAGAAAAGAAGGTATTTTAAGTGCATCACATTGGCACCAGTTTTTTTTTAACCAGTGACATGGTTTGTTTATTCCTGTATTCTTAGTAGAGCAGATCTTAGAGGCACAGGCCACTGAAAACAAAATAGGAAGTAGGTGACATTCACAACATGAGCAAGGTTTCATATAAAAATAGATCATGCTTGTTGGTTTAAGAACACCTGCTGTTTTTTTGTAATTTATTTATTTCACTGCCTTCCTTCTCTTTTTATTTTATTTTTTTACCATTAAAGCACAATCTTATGCATCTCTATTCTCTCCTTATTCCTCTTATTTTCTGTGTATGGTTCCCTTTCTTCCTGCTTCCAGCAGGTTTGGTGACCCCACCCTGGAGCCTTTGGGCCATGGAGAAGCTCAGATAAGCTGTCGTGGCTCTTGCTTGATGCGATGACAGGAGCCTCAGGGCCAAACACATATCTGGGATTCCTACCCTCCTTCCTCAGCCGCTCCTTCTCTCTCCACCTCCCCTTTTTAACTTTCCTCTCTTTTCCTCTAAATCGTCCACCTGTTCTGTTTCTTCTCGAGAAGTGGCCTTAAAGAGCTATGTTTATTAAAACATACTAATGCATTCTTCCTTGACAGTGAGGTGTGTTTACCTTGGCTTCTTCACTGGGGTTCCACATAAAGGAGAGAGCGTTGAAGGCCACTTCCTCTATGTTGCTAATGCCACTGAACACTTCTTTATAGTCCGCTATAAAAAACAGATAGATAGATTTTTTAATCGTATGCATAAAATTCTCAGGTTTCTAATTAGATAAGAATGATGCCTTAATTCTCATGCCAGAAACTGAGATGAGAACATTTTTCACATTTATGCCCTCGTGTATTTTCGTGTGTGAAGAACGTACCGATGTCGATGACCCTCTGTTTGACAGTCGGCTGGCGCGCATGCCAGTGGTTCCAGAAGCGGAGCTGCATTTCTGGGCTCTTGTCATTCTCAAACACAGCCATTACTAATGTCTGCAGTGGAGAAAGAAAAGTGACACAGACAGAGAATTAGGGACATTTGTCTGGCTGAATGTAACCCTTTACACCTGCCTACATTTCCAAGACCATGACCAACTCTCAATGAAAAGCCACCACATTTCATTCATCACACCAGATTCCCCTTTTCTCTTCACATTGTCATCAGTTATTTGCAGTAAGCTGATGTGTGTTTGAGTATTTTCTTAGGCTCTAATTCAACTGACAAAGAAAAGGGTTGTCACCTGTGTTGTTAAACTAGACCATACTTTCCCACCCTCTTTGTTCAGCCCCCGCCACTCTACCCTTCTCTCTCATAATGCCAGATCACACAAATGGAGCAGAGCTGAAGCCTGCTGCACTCCGGCCCCATTACATCACCAGTAGAAATAAATTATACAGGGCAGTACACTGTCATTTTAATGGTACCACCCCATTGTACAAGCTGTCAGCAGGGTATTTGTCACAGAGGAGCTGGCTCCAAGGGAGGGACAAATATTTGGGAAGGGTTGGCTTGATGGCACGCAAAGAATTTATTTACTTGAAAAAAAACTCTGAAAACTAAAAAAACAAAACAAAACAAAACTGAAAACTGAAAAATCTGAAGAAGTGACAGGAAAGATACCACAATAGTTATTTTTTTTTTTTTACACCACATTCATTCATTGTCTACTGCTTAGTCCCCGAACGGGGTAACAAGGGGGGCAATTCCGGCCGGCGATCGGGCGAAGGCGGGGTACACCCTGGACAGGTCGTCAATCCATCGCAGTTTACACAACATACACACAGAAAAACAACTCTAGAGAATAATTCAGAACAAAAGCAAAAGTTGCGTGCTTTCTGATGCGTCACTATGACTCACCTTGACTTTGGTGGTAGTAAGGCAGGTGCTGCTATCCACTCCCTGTAGAGTGATGGGGTAGAACTGGCCCTTATTCAGGTAGACCATGGGCAGTTCACTGAACTTGTAAGGAGAAGCAGAGGGAGCTCCCAGAGAGAACTGGAACTCACTCCTGAATCTTTCTGGTGGGGAGTCACTGTAGGAGCCTGAGTAAACAGGGCTGGACTGATCCTCAGGGAAGGGGTCACTGTAGTGAAGAGGCTGACATCCACACAAAATTATGTATTAATAAAGGACGGGGGAGAGACACAGAGACAGGCTAGTTGCACAGGAAACAGGGCTCAGTATTTAGATAATGACAGCCTACTTACCTCAGTGCTGGGATCAGAGAAGGCACTGGTTTCTGGCCACTTCTGCAGCAAAGAGTCAAAGATAATGTTGAGGTCCTGCTTATCATAAGTGTCAGCAACCACGCTGGTCAGGGTGGTGTAGGTGTCCGAGGTGGTGGGAACAGGGATGGTGTTCTGCTTGGATTCCAAAGCTTCCTGAGGATGGCTAGTTGGAATGTTCATGACGTTGGCGGACGCCTCCAATGAACCAAGCTGAATGGTGTTGTTTGGAATCCTGGGGAGGTGGGGAAAAGATGAAAAAGAGGAAGTAGGAAGGAAAGAGGAAGCAGATTAATTACAATAACAAAGCCAACAGACTTTTGGGAGGTCAGGATGACACAAATCACCTTAAAGCGACTACAGGAGTGTGTAGCTTATGCAAACAAACAACAGTCAGTAAAAGCACCTTTTGTGTCTCGACTCAGCACACTCAGCGACTGCAAGGCGAGCTCACAGAAAGACGGGGGTTAAGGTTTGGGCGGGAACTATTTGTCACTTAATCCAGCTTTTTGCTTCTGTGTTTGAGTTTCTCTGTTAAAACTATTTGGGGGGACAACACTGTGCTCTAACAATGGCCATTTCTCACCCACATAACAAGCAGTAGGAATAAGGAGCTCAGCAAAGACAGAGTGAGGAAAAACAACCATCTGTTCACCTGTTGTGAAAGTCTTTAAGTAAAGCAGAGCTGATGATACAGAGAGGAGAGATGGAAGACCTCTTATTGTGTTTGACCTAAGTATTACACACTCACATGTTTATGGCCTTCCAAAGCCCTGCCTTTCTCTTTTTCTGTTACTAACACTCTCACTAATAAATTCAATTCAGTGATAACAACAGATGGGATAGAAATAAAAGGAAAACCTAATATCTGAATCATGCAGCTGCACCCAGAAATAATTTAAAATATATGATTTAGCAATGTGAAGACTGATACATATGGAGTCATATCATAACTTGTACTGTAGGCGAACTGCTGGATTTGGTCTGAGCACTTACCTTTCTGTTGATTTGCAGGCACTGGCACCGCGGTTACCGGCAGCAATCTTCTGCTCCTTCTGATTCTGGAAAAATAAAATCAGAATTGGTCAAAATGGCTCGTATCAATAAAATATACTTTGCTTAGTTTCAAATTTTACATTAGCAACCTTGCACTTTTCGTAAAGCATGGTTAGGGCTACCAGGTCGTCTCCTGGGTGGAATCTAGGTTTGGGGTTGTTCGGCTCAGGAACAGGGCTCTCCAGGTAGGGCCAGGAGTCCATGATGTGGTTCGTATAACGGTTATTACAGTTGAAGTTTTCACACTGAAAGAACAGTCCCAGAGTCCTACAGGGAGAAGAAACAAATGGTGAGTCACTGATTATATTGAGAGTTTGATTAATGAATCAAAACATGCACAAAAAAATGACAGAAATGTAAAATTATCCAGTGTTTCAACAGGGGAGGACAAAATGTGTTCAGGTGTGTTTGTGTATTTGACAAACAGTGATTGACAGAGGGAGAATAAGCTGCAGTGTAGCAGCTGTACCTGAGCCTTGGAGCACTGCACATACTTGCCCCTGAGCAAGAAGAGTTTCGATTGCAAAACCACAAAGCTGAGTAACATCCCTCAAAATCAGTTGTGTCAAAAATGGTTAAAAAGCCAGAGGCCACCCACCAATGCACATGCACACACTCATCTAATATTTAGTGGTTTCCAGTGTTGTGAAAGGAAAGCAAACTCCATTCCCAAATCGAGTACAAACTCTATTATTTATATAGGTCTCAAACAAGATTTTTTTAGTAAGTAAATAGAAACCCACAACCTTTGCAGGGGTGAGCTGTGGTTTTCATGCTACTTATATAAAAACAAACAATTAAAGCCTGGGATTTTAAGGATTGGGTTTGTTTAGAGAGACCTGCAGTGACATTAGATTGTAAATATCCTGCCTACCAAATAAGCCTTTGGATAATAAATCAAATTCCCCTTTGGAATTTGCCTGAAGTAGATAATGAACAAGTAACTTCAGCTTACTCTTGATAAACCACTAATTAAATGTGCTGACAGGAGGAGAACCAAACCTGAAAGAGAAATGTAAGGATTTCTCATAAGGATTAATGAGTAATGCAATTTAAAACAAGTATAGTGAGGAAAAACTGCAGATTTTAACTATAATCTTTGTGCATCTATTTTTTTAAAAACAGTTCAGCTTAATTAAAAACCTAAAACACCTACTCAGATGCACCTGTTACTCTCTTTTTCTCACGTTCAGCAGCCTCAGAAAAAAAAACTGAACACAATGAAACTCCATTAATTACTGTCCATAAAACCACCCAATGCAGATGTTATTACACAGAGGCAGAGAGAGGGTCTAGGGTTTCACCATCATGTAATTCAGGGCATTGCACCCTGTCATTGCCCCCTGTCTCTGTTCAATACCTCAAGAGGAGATTATTTCCTGGTGTCCTTTTGTTCACTGTGGCCCCTAGGTGAGTGAAAATACAAACTGAAACGTACCCGCTACCACCAGAGACTCAAAATTGTATGTCTATGTGTGCGAGTGTTGAAATTATCCATATCATTTCCCCCCACAAAAAACACCTCTTTTTTGAAACTTCAGTCTTTCACATGGTGGTCTCATTGCAACTTACAAGAAGGTGGGGTTCTGTCCTCCAGACTGGAATCTACATGAGCTATTTACTGTGTTGCACCAAGCCCATACCAAAATGTTTTTAAGTTAAGAACAAAAAGCCTACTTGGGTAAACATGAAGCACAAATTTTAAGCAACAACAATAAAAAATATATCCTCACAGAACTTACTCAGTCTCTTTGGTCATGTCTCCAGTCCAAGTCAGCCGGAATAGGTTCCTTTAATTTCAGTTCTTCGCCGTTTTTATGTGTTTCTCTTTCGGCAACAGTCTAACAAAGAAGTGCAGTGACAGATGAGTCAAATGTTGTGATTCCCTCTGAAGGAGGCACAGATTTATTTAATGCCAGCACAGTTTCCCCTCTGTCCTCTGATTGGCCGAGAGCTCTGAAACAGGTGTCTGATAGGACAGGTGTAAAATTATTAACTCTTCCAAGGCTGGAGAGAAAGAGGTTTGCATATGTATGAGCGTGTGCAGCAAAGAGACACATTTGCAAGACAATCCAAGAAACAAGTGTTTTGAATCTTGTTATTGCTCTGGATAAAAGAGTGAGACTGGGGATCCCAGAGGTGTGAGATGTTTCATAATGAGGGGAGAGGTCCAGAACTCAGCTTTAACATGCTAAAAGCTTTTCAGTATCTTTTCTCACTCTCCACCATTTCCATTGCATAAATAGGTTTTGGTTTCTTTCTTTTCTGGGGATCATAGATGCATTACCATTGTGCTCAAAACTACTGAGAGGAGGCAGGATTAAGGGGAGCTCATTTATTTAAAAAGATTGGAGTTTTCAGCCAAATTAAAGTGAAAATTACACATTGGAATTTAAAAACAATAACATGAAGTTATAAGGTCAAAATAGTGCAGCCAGTGTTGCAGCAATACTTTAACTGTTACACAGCAACATAGGCACCTTCTTAATAAACATTATACCCTCTAATTCTATTGCAGACAAATACATAATTATATGGTGAAAAAACAAAAAAATGTCATAATTATTTTTACATTTTGATTGTTTTACATACAAACCATTACCCAATTTTATTAAACGTCAACTGTGATCATTTGCTTAAGTAAAAGCATCATGTAAAATATTGGACTCAATCCGAAATTAAATAAAACTACAAAAAAGGAAATATTATTCTCACAGTACTAAAGTATTAATAATACTCTTATGCAGAATGTTTTTTTTGTAGAGATTTATACTGTATTATCACATATATCACATTTATTTATTTATTGTATTATTGTTGTTATTGACAAAATGAAACGTAAAGGAAGTATCAAGTGTCACAATTTGATGAAGCTACAGCAAATCACTACTTTATATAGTGATCAGCATAAAAAACACATTTTATAAGATGACATTTGAAAAAGTAACTACAGCTATCATGCACACCGTGTGTAGTAAATTTACAGTGCAATATTTGCATCTAGAAGATAATTAAGTAAACGTTTAAAGTAACATAAAATGGAAAAACCTGAGTAAATACACTTTCTACTGCTGGACTGTTATTATACAAGTAATGATAAAAATGATACAGATTCTTATTTAACTCCTTCTGGCAAAATATTTTGAATGCATAACGCACATTTGCTCTGACCAAATGTACACTTTTTACTTTGCATATGGAAGTGGGATACACTGTACTTCAGGTGATGGTTTGTGGAAATGATTGGAGACATGCTTCTGCCAATCATGACAAGATGTTCACTCACAATGACTTAACAGAAAAACACACATACTTCCTAACAAGTAAAGCCAAAGCTTGGTTTTTCTCTGTACCCAGGAATCCGTGTCAGGAAGATATATTATCTTCCACCCACCAACACACAAACACACACACATTTCAATTTGCATGTGTATAAGTGTGTGTGTGCGCACGCACCTCTTGCAGCTAGCGCCTGAGGGTATCTGGCGTGGTAACACACAAGGGTGCGTGCTGTGCAGCTTGCCCACACACTTAAACACACCCTCTCAGAATAACGCACCCATATACGCAGAACTCCGAGGGCAAATTGGCACCAACTCAAAAAAAAAGAACAGAAAACTAATGCACGACACACCTTCATTAGTCTGCACTGTAAGTCCTGAATGCGCATCTACACAAGTGGAATTAATTACAGTCATTCCAGTAAAAGCTCCCACAGTGTTCTAAATATGGCTGACAAAAATCTGTTTGTTTCTATGGCCCACTTCCCCAGTTTGTACACATAACAAATATATAACAAATGCTATCTCAGATCTCTCAGATTTAATCAATTGTATGACCAGAAGAAAAGGGACAGAGGATGGAAGTAACATGGATGTGCGTCTTTTCTACACAGCAGTGAGCCTCTCACTTTTCAGTAGCTTGTTGAGGGTGTGAACAGTTTCACTTGCCTGTGGTTTCTTTCTCTCTCATCCTAATGTTCATGGACTTTCTCTGTCCTTCATTAGTACTGAAATTACCATATCAAAATGTTTAGCTCTTTTAGCCTCACACCAGTCTCTTCGGTCTCTTTCACTCTCTTTCTCTCTTTGTCTTCAGTCATATCCTACAAAGCCCTGATGCAAACATCTAAAAACATCTCTGATATATCAACACAATTTTATATCCTAAAAATAATATGCTCTACAGTGTGCATTCAAGCACAATAAATTATTGATCATTATCAAGCTCTACATGTATGTTTAGATATACAATGGCTCTGAAGAAATACACATACATACACA